AAATATCATTTTTGGCAATAATCTGATCCCACTTCCTGACTACCTTCACCTCCACATGAAATCACTTTCTATCTCCTCTTCTAACTTTCTGCATATGGCTTCTCGTCCTCCTTCCTCCTCCCAGGCTATTTCTGATGATCTGTCCTCTGCTGACTGTATTATCAACTCCTCTCCTGATAGCTGGCTGCCTATCATCTGCCCTCGAGTTAGCAACAGTTACTCATCCTCACAAGAAAACGTCCCCCAGCTCACGGACCAGCGTACAGCTCTCATCTATTTCTTGCCAAACCTTTTTGTTGCGAGTGAATACCAGCATGTCAAAGTAGAAAAATTCTCCTCACTCCCAAAAGATCTTACTATCTTGATCTGCAACATTTGCTTTCCGTTACATACAGTATCATATCTGTCATAATGCCTCCCCCTCCTTCTTTTATCTTCCAGGCTAGCCCGTGGTGTTCCCATGTTGGAAAATAAGAAAATGCCAACAAAAGTGCCCACTTGGATACCCCTATGGGAGATTAAACATGATAAGGTCCCCTATAGAGTGCCCTACTTTCTAGAAAATTAGTTGGCGCACTAGGTGCCGTCCTAAATGGTTAAATAGGTTAAGCTCCAGTAGGTAATATTTATAAAAATAAACTGTGTGATATTTGGTGAAACCCATCCTGACAGTAGTTCATGAGACAGATCATCTGTGAAAAAATCTGGTTCATCTGGCTCCTCCTAGTGCTCCTAATGGCATTTACAAGAATCCACCGGGCCTGAACGAAAACAACCAATCAGAGCCAAGAAAGATATTAGATTGTTGGGTCTCATTTGCAGGTCACACATTATTCAGGTTTTTTTTTTTATTCTAGTGACTATTTCCTCTGACCAATCTGTGGTCAGCAGTGTTTTCACGTCACCTTTTACTTTCAGCTCAGCGCACTTGGAACCTCGACCAAGGTGACACCAAAAAAAGTCCCAGTTATTAAAACTTTAACCAAAAAAGAACTGAATGAATGACAAGAAGAAGTAAAGTCAAGTGTAGCCGAGCTGTACAATGCAATGGAAACACATTAGTTTTACATTAATTCTGACTCACACAATATAAACTGTTTAATCTTAACCAGGGTTTGAAACAGTTTCACCATAAATGCATCACGTCTTTGTACACGCTGGTGCCCTTTTTATTTTTTTTTACGCCAGTGGGCCCCAGCGCGGGTGTCACACAATAAACTCTGTAATCACTGAACCCTCGCTGACTTTAATCCACCTCATCTGTGTGCTCAGCAATACTGTGAGAGTACATAGAGTACAAGGGCTCCAAAAGCTTTATGAGGACTGGGCCAGCACTTTAAAAGACATATTACCGGAGCAGTAAAGTGCACAGCTCATGTATCACAAGTAGCTTAAAAATGACCAACGTGATCATGCTTTCGTGGAATAAAGAACTGCACAATTAATTAACTGCCTTAAACACAAATCTTTCACAAACTTTTTGACAAAACCTGTTTTGATAAATATGAATTTCACTTGAATTTCATAGACCACATAGTCCATAGGACATTGTTCTCTATTTTTATTTCAAATAAGAGGCATTATTGGCAACTCTCAGGTCTTCATTGTTATTTGGAAATATTTGCCCCTTGGATTCGGTGCATTTCTCCATCTATTCAATCAAATTTTAGTTATGCTAATGCCAGTTGTCAAGGGGCTCATAAATATATTTACTACTTTTCTACTAATCCTTTCACACTCAGCTTGCATATCTTGGCTGACTACATCAAGGACAACCTTGACAAGCCTGAGCTTTTTTCCCTGATGCACGCCGCCCTTCCAATTCACATGACCTTGTTTGCATTCTGCATCATCAGATGATTCAGACCCTTTGTCACCAGGGACTCTGAGTGGGTATTTGTCTATGCACGCACCTTTACATGGCACACAAACCTGCTAAGGGAATTATAGACCTTGTGCCTCTAGGAGATGGTCCACTCCAACCTGTTCCCTGTGCTCTGATATTACTTGGCAGTCACTTTCCTTCTACTGGCAGCAACCTGGTCAATCCTATAGCTCACCCAGGGGAAAGTGATGTTCCCACCCCAGTCACAACAACTTTTACTCCAATCTTCCATCATAATGTGACAGCTCATTTCTCTAGAAAAAACTTTGTATCCCCCTCTCGTCTTCAGGAACACCCCACATACAGTAGCTGCTCCTCCTTGCCTCTTATTTATTCTCCCAGCACTGCTCTATTAAATGTGTTCATTCTATGAAATAAAGAATATCAATCACAGCTTATATTGAAGTGTTTCTGTTGTTTGTTTGTTTGTTATCCATCCAAGAGCCTGTTGCAAATTGAATTTGAAGATTATGTACAGTAAGAATGGATAACTCACTGGAGTTCCAGGGAGGCCCGCTTTTCCTGCCGGCCCCGGTTCACCTGGCTTGCCCTGGGGCGCAGAGGAAAAAGAAAAGACAGAATGAGAAAATTGATGGGGAAGGACAGCAAGAGGAATGACTTGAGTGCCACTTTACGTCCAAATCTATCTGTCTGCTTGACACTGTGCTGCGTCTGTCTTCTGTTTGCGTCAGACAAAATGACTCACCGACTCTCCTCTTGGTCCACTAAGTCCTTCTCGGCCTGGAGGTCCCATAGAGCCCTGCGAAAACGAAAAAATAGTCAGTTTTATTACACTTACACATGCTGAAAACAAAGACTTAATCATATCTCATCTTCAGGGCTGAAAAAAAAACTGCAGGCTTGTTCATTTTGCTGGAAAACAGCCTCAGCTGTGGCGGTGGGTTAAATTTGAACTCCTCTTTTTGTAGGAGGAGTATAGGTGGGAAAAAAATGTTCTTACTTTTGGAGAACATTTTATCTGCTCACAGCCAGAGGATAACTTAGGTAAAAAGGTTTTTTTGGTGAAGTCTTACATCCTCCTTCTAGACAAATGGGAGACTTAAAGTGCTGCAGCTTTTAAACGTGCATGTGAGAGGGGTTTAGAGTCGTCATTGATGAATATGAACGGGATGAGACTCATTCAACGTCAAAAGATATGAGGCTCCTGTAAAATGTTACACTCTTAGTTCTGGTCCTCTTGTATTATACAGACAAGATTAAGGATTCTGTGGTCTGCTGGAAATTTTGCAGTCTTTCCAAAACTTATCTTAGGAGTATTATCTGCATTCTATCAATCAACGGAGACTGGTTCCAGACAGCAATAATGATTATTCTCAGGGACCGCAAGATGCCTTGGGAGTGGCTCCTTCTCAGCACTGGGTGACTGAAGGAGTACTGCATATGAAAGAATGTAGGGAATAATAGTGGTGGTATGTATATTGCCTTTATAAATGCAGAAAAGATCAAAGGTGGAGGCATATTGATTTGTTCCATGCTTTTAAAGATATTCCATTCAATTGTATTCTTTTATGAATTTACTTTTTTATCATATGAATAAAGTCATTTTATTGCATCATCTCAGACCCCTCTTTTTGTGTGCATGGAACAGCATTTTCCTCCTGGTTGGTATAATTTCAATGTATATGCACAGAAGGAAAGTTGCAAGTCATGAAAAAAAAAAACACTGCAACGACTAATATCTGATAACATACCTCCTTCCCTGGTTTGCCATCCCGCCCAGGTGACCCAGACTTTCCATCTTCTCCCTGTATAGTACATGAAAAAAATATGAAATAAGAGAAAGGATTACTTGACAGCTCAGAGGCAAATTTATTAAGTAGAAGTAGAAATACTTGGGTGAGAAAAGACTCTAGCAAAAGTAGACGTACTGATTCACCTTCGTTCTTCATGTAAAAGTGAAAAAGTATAAAAAGTAAAAACTACTCTCTTAGTTTCTCTGAAGAGCGTTTCTACCAGCTTTTTCTTTGCAAAGCTTACTGAACGTTCAAATAGGGTCGAGTCCTCCTGTTTTGTCTTGTTACGTTCTTACTTTTTTCATGCGTGATATCCAACGGCCTTGATGTTGGAAAGGAGTGCTATGAAGCAAAAATAAATAAATAAAATTGATAATTCCCTTTAGATGCATTAAAACTAAAGAGCCTGTTTTGAAAATAAAAAGGAGTAGAAAGTACAGATATCTGTGTAAAAGTAAAAAGTTGTCAGAAAAAAAAAATAGGCCAGTGCAGATATCTGAAAAAACTAGCAGTTTTACAGTACAGCAGCGAGCAGTTACTTCCAACCCGTTTATAATAGAACCAAAACATTTCGATCTTGTTAAGGGATATGAAACTGAATAATGTGATGTACTACTGTAGGTTTTCTGGCAAAAATCTGGCTTGTTTGACACAAATCCTAAATATTTCAATTCTACACATATTGGCTAAAAAGTCCAGTTCATGTTATCAACATAGCCTACTTATTATCTGTTTTTACTGTTCCAACCATGTTATTTGATGGGGAAACTTTATTAGACAGCTGCAACATTAGCATTTAGCAAGCAAGCCTTGGTAAACTAGAAAATTGATTTTATACAAATAGCTTTGAAAACATAGTGCAGGCTATTAGCAACATAGCATGGAGCCCTAAAACTGGCAGTGAAAAATAAATAATTTTTTAAGCCCAAATGTAATCATCTCACTAAGTTTACTATGTGTTTAGTTATATCTCTGCCTCATCTGGTAACCTTTTACTGCCCTTTGTCAGTTTTGGCCCTCCATAATATATTGCTGTACTGCCCACAGAGGAGATGAAAGTGGACTTGAGCTCCACAGAGTTAATTATAAAGATCTATATGAAGCTTCTATATTATGCTGAGGTACTGTGCTAAATATGTACTCCTTATTGTGCGCAGCAACTTTGAATTTCTAGAATAATAGTGAATATAAATCCTGTATGACGTAATTATAAGCAGTGGAGAGTAATTCTCAGAGTGTGTATGGAAACACTTCTAATAAGTTGTCTGCTGTCGGTTTGGCAGTGTGGGCTGCGGGGCTAAGGGCCTGCCTGCCTCGCTGTGGCTCAGTCAGAGCTGTCTGTAATGAGCCATGCTATTGGTCATGGCGCTGTGGAAGAAACCTTTCCTGCGGGTGTGTGCTGCTGTGTGAGAGACAAAGCAGCAGGTGCAGTGATTCTCTCGGAGAAGGTGTGTGTAAAAAAGTGCCAGACATATCTTGACATCGCAGTGCGGCATGCCAAGAACTATGACTGTGTACTATTCCCTGAACTCCTGCAGTGAATAGTATCAGTTATAGCTTTTGAGCAGAGGAAGGTGTCTCTTTAAATGTATTAATATAATGTCAACTGGGATCATTCCAATTCTGTAGTAAATTATTTGATGACATTTATATGTTATGTCAGACTTTCATAGAGGACACATCAGTCTTGTAGAGACACTAATGCTAACTTAGATAGCAGTTCCAGCATGCATCGCCCCTGTCAGGAAAACTGCACATCTCATGAAAACAGAGTAAAAACACTGTAACATAACATACAGAAAACTGCATCGGGGTGGATTTTCTGCTTTCCTTCGCATTGTCAGATCCAAACCATTTTAGTTCACATTTTTAAGGTCTGAACTGTTTCAATTGAATTTTTTTATTCATTGCATTCCAGAAATTGGTGAACTGTGGTGTTAATTTACTTTGATTAAGTAAAGAAAGAAATTTCAAGCCTTAAAATTGTAAGTTAAATATTGTTTTGTGAGTCCAACACCACATGGAAAAAATAAACTAGTAAATTTATATATTAGGCTACCCTTAATATGTCCCCTTTTCCCCCAATTTTTTATTGTAGCAATACATTCCCAATTTACCAGACAGACAATGACTATGGCTCCCTACAGATGTGGAAGCACATAAGGCAGGAAATGGTGCTAAAGTATATCTAACAGCATTGTTTGTGTTCCAGAAAAACACCAGTTATGTCTCTTAGATACAAACTGACCTGTTCACATACACAAAAAACTAAAAGTAGCACACTAACCTTAGGTCCTGGTGGTCCAGGTTCTCCTCTGTGGCCCTTAAAGCCCTGTATAGGAAGAGAAACAGCAGTGAATCAGCCACAGCAATTTGCACTGCCAGCTTCCTTTATCAGATCTGTTTACTGGTGGTTACTTACTGGGAGTCCCCTGAGCCCAGGGTTTCCTGGTGGTCCAGGTTCACCTTGTTTGCCCTGAAATGAAAACAGATATAGTTACAGCATCATTGTCTGGTCACATTATGCTATCAGATTTTTCTAAAACCAGACACTGTCTTTATATTCTTTGGATCACTGACTTGGTAAACATCTCCTTCAGCTACTTACAGGTTCTCCTGTTTCACCTGGTCTGCCATCTTTTCCCATTTTTCCAGGCTGACCCTGCAGATCAATGAAACAGATCATTTTGCGTCTACAGCTGTAAAGAACTTTAACTGCATTTACAGCTCAGACTGTTTATACCACACTCCATGTATATTCATGATGCTGTACATATAATTATTTTTCTTACAATCAAGCCAGGAAGACCTGGTGGTCCCTGGATTCCTTTGAGACCCTCTTTGCCCTAGTGAAAACAAACAAATAAACACAAACAGGCCACCGTCACCAAAGAAAAAGAAATGATTAATGGCTACTATTACCACAAAAGGCTGGCTGACCTACATGCTGGAGGGAAGAGGTCTGTACGATAATGACACATGGGTAATAAGTTTTCAGAGGGTAAAGTACATGGAGTGCAGCCTGACCTTTTCTCCAGAGGGCCCCGGGGGGCCGATGGGTCCGGGCTGTCCATCGTTACCCTTAAGAGGAAAGAGACAGTGTCAGTGGAGGTCAACAGAAATAGAAAGCCTGACTGTGAGACCAAATCCAATGATCCCTGTTTGCAAAATGCCTATGCAGTCAGACCATTTCAAGTGCTAAAACAGAGAAAATAAGCCCAAAATGTGACTTACAGGTGTACCCATCAAGCCAGCAGAACCAGGATGGCCAGGGGGTCCTGGGTGACCCTGTTAATACACAATAAAGTGAAATATAAATATGTGATTCGTACCAGACATTATTCTAATGAGTGTTTCTTTAAACACAGAGAGAGGGGAAGCAGCAGACAAGCGCAAGATTCATGAGTCATAAACAACAAATATACCTTGTCTCCTTTGTCTCCAGGGCCACCAGGAGGTCCTCGATCACCTTTAACACCCTGTGGTGAAAAAGAAATAAAGATCATATGAAATGTCGCCCACAAAGAGGAAAGCGTCTGCCTGAGAAACAATTTGTCAACGAAAAAAAAAAAAACTCAAAATGTTCAAAATATATCTATGGGGGAGGATGCAGCAATAGCTGTATTGCTTTTGAAATATGACTCAATACCTTTTTTGAGAGGTGTTTTTACCTGAAACTTGTAATGTAAAAAAAAATTAAAAAAAGGGTTGACATTAAAAAAAAAAGGTTCATTAGCATTAGGCTATTTGGGAGCCACAAGGGTGCAGTTAGTGTGCAAACTTGCCTTTCCACCGTCAGTTCCAGGAGGCCCTTGAGGTCCGGCTGGTCCCGGCGGGCCCTGTAATGACACCAGCAGAGCATCAGTCTCTGTCCTGGCAGTCACCGGGGTCCTAATCGTTCACTGCTGCCCCCAGAGGAGGCCAAGCTAATGATGCGGACAGAGTCCCTCCATCGGTCACACCAACAGTGACAGATGATTTCAAACATGTAGCCAGGACCTCACGCTCACTTAGGGCTAATGCAGCTGAGACACACACTTTATAATGCTCCTTTAAAGATGAGCAGAGTTATCATAATAGTCTTCACATTACAGGAGAAGTGATATTGATATTTCAATATTAATGACTGTGTCCTACTTGGTAACCATCTTGACCGTCTTTCCCTGGAGATCCCTGGTGTCCTTTGTCCCCTGGGACCCCTGGGAGACCGGGTGCTCCAGGTGGACCTGCAGGGCAGTCTGAGCAAACGTCCTAAAATGTGGCAGAGACATGTTTGTGATAAAGCAATCATTGTCAGGGTCCACAAATATAAAGTCTTTTCTCATTGAAGAGGGGTGGAAATGCTCCTTACCTTCAGGTTTAGATCAGAGAGGTCTGCCGCCTTTCCCTGAGAGACAATGAATCAGAGAGTTAATCAAAGAATGTAGGTGGTCTCTATTAAGTAGGATACCAACAAAGACCCTCTTAGCGCCCATGTAAGCGAGATGCTGTTGGCTGTTGTTATGGCACTCCAACCTTGTTTTTCGCAAACTTGATGTCAAGTCATATATAGCCCAGAATCACAAATCCTAATTTGCCTCAGGGGGCTTTATCACCCTCTGTCCTTAGACACTCAATTCAGGTGAAGAAAAACAACCCCATTTTTCCCCACCTTGCTCTCAAACTTGCAGCTAACAGTGCAATACGTAGTTCACCCATAGTCTCTAACGCCATCAAACTATACTCCTGTTTTCAGGATAATTAGAATACTAGCTCAAGCTTCAGCTCGTAAACTTTGTCTTTACCCTCTGACATTATCTGTCCAATCGACACTGCTTATATGCAACTCCCAACAGAGATCAAATGGTAGCATGATGGCTCACTCTTTAGCTACTAGAAAAACGTAGGTGTTTCATTCTTTTTTACCACTTGCCCGATGGGGTAATTGAGTTGCTTGACTGACTAGCCCGAAGTGGTATTTTACTTGCCCCTTGCGAGTGGGCAATCCTTATTGTTAAGCTCTGACTCTGCTGCTGTAAAAGCCTTCTGTTCCTTCCACTCTTCTGGATTTGCTCCCATTCAGCCACAAGAGAATTAGTGAGGTCCAACACTGATGTTGAGTGATGAGGTCTGGCCCACTGTTAGTGTTCCACTTCATCCCTGAGGTGCTGGACAGGGTTAAGGTCAGATCTCTGTGCAGACCAGTCAAGTTCTTCTACACTAAACTGGGAAAACCTTTTTCTTTATTGACCATGCTAAAGGTGGTATAGCCCAAATCATGAAAACCAGCACCATGTGTCTACATACTTTTGACCAAAGAGCACATGCATCATCGATTTAATCTATTTTATCCGACAAGTCAACAAAAGAAGGTCCTTGGATTTCAAGCATGCACTCAATGGCTACAAAATTGCACTGTGTCACTGGTGTTTCAGTTCAGTTCAACTTAAAATCCCTAAAAAAAGGATGTTTCATTTCGTGTTGATTCTGGCAGCCCATGTGAACAAGAGCAGTACTGTTTCTACTGCCTTGTTTCACTGATCTCAACATTTCTAAAGTTTTCTTGCTGGACACAAGATGTCTCCCACTTCGCTGTAAAGTCCATTCTCAGTGGATGTGCACTAGTGGCTTCAGGTTTCTAAACATCACACTGTAAGTTGTTAACTGGACAGTATGATCTTTAAAATCAGATTTTCAATGAGCACAGAGAAACTTTCAGCAGATTAACGTGAAAACATCCTTCTAAAGTCTGCACAGACAGCATTCAAACAGCACACTGAAGGAACAAGAAGAGAAAACTATTTTTGAGTGGAGGGGGACTATACAGAAATAGCCTTCTCGCTGATGGTCTTGTTTGTTTATGTAGGTCCTATAGAGGCATCGGTAAATTAGGACTGTTTGTTATCAGTTAAAAAACTCCCTGTAGTATAACTAGTTTAGGGATAAACGTCACTTGTGTACATGGAGAAAGTTTACTGGTGCATATATATGTAGAGGACGATCCCTCTACATATATCTCACTTTATACAGTATTTAGAGGACATATTGAATTTAAAGTGAAATAAAGTAGTTAAATTTCTCTATTATCCCTTATTACAACCAGCAGCACAGATAGTTCTGGTTGTTCCCTGCCATTGTGTACTTACAGGCTCTCCTGGGGATCCCTTCTCTCCCGGTCTTCCTGGTAAACCCTGCAAGTGGAGCAAAGGCAAGGAATTACATTTTCCAAATAAATCAATATATCAAATAAATAAATAAGGCATTAAGAAACAAATAACCTAAGACATGTGCATCAAATGATTTACTTATTTATTCAGTCATTTGCTTTTAGACTCACATTATGTCCTGCTGGGCCCTGAGGACCGGCGACTCCAGGTGGACCCCTCAAGCCCTGAAGCCCGGATAAACACATATTAGAGGAGCACATTGTCATAGACATAAACATATTCAATATTAATCTTTAGCAAATATTTACCGCAGATCCAGGTTCCCCATTATTTCCTGGAGGCCCCTGCAAAATTAAGAAATGTGTAAATAAATAAAATAAAAAGGACAGTAATGTGTCACCAGCTGGTGTTGATGCTCATACCGGTAGTCCCATTTTGCCTTCTCCTGCAGCACCCCTGTCCCCTGGTAACCCTGGTTCTCCTCGTGACCCTGGTTGACCCTGGTAGGAAAAAAAGAGTTTACTTTACCACCCTGCTCCTCAGATAATGTCAGTTCAGCTGTCATGTTTGGCTAAGGGTCTCGCTTGGCACACAACTCAGTCAGCGATGCCTACTGATCCCAGAAATACCACTCTTTCTTTAATTTGCGATGGAACAAAAATACAATCTGCAGTTGACATTTTGGTACTCAGAAGAGAAAACGTATTGCTGATGAGGGTGAGCGATTTGACACCATAAATCCCCCAAATGCCCCGGTCCAGCCGCTCCCACTCTGTGCCCTCGACGTGGAGCTCTTCACAGCGAAGAGAAGCTCGTAATCAGAGCAATGGTCACACTGCGGTGGACATAGAAATTGCTTTTGCTGCTTTCAACAAAAATGAATTGTTTTTCTTATATGCGGCAGGAAAAAAAAAGTTCACATCAACAAAAGAGCACCTGTGCATGATAAAAAAAACCCACCTCAGGAAAACTACAAAGCTTACACACACACACACACACTTTCTTGCAAACTTCTTAAATCACATTACCTTTAGCCCTGGGGGTCCTTGAATTCCCTGTGGTCCTGTATCTCCCTGTAATATCACAAAAGACATCAATCAAATTTCTTGCTACTCATACACTGGAATTAAGCCTCTTTTGAATAAATCATTTAAGCCTTGAAAGTGCGTATGTGTTGCCATTCTTCATTCACATAACTGTGGCGAGGCCTTAGGGCCGCACCTGGCAGCTGTAAAAACCAGGAGCCGCTGGGAGCTGAATATGTTGTGCTCCTGTGTGTGTTCTTTAACGTGATATGTCTTAACAGTGTTTTTCCTGTTTGTTCCTGCCTCGTCAGCGGGGCGGCCACATGTCTGGGGTGAAAAATGATGAAGAAACATGTTGGGCTGGAGTGCCGAATGTGCCTACTCAGCCTCGTTTTCCGCCCGTACAGCCGGTCATATTGTGCTGTGGTTCAACATGTATTACAGGCGAGGAGATGTTTACAAGCAGAGCACATGTGGAATGCAAGAGACTGCACGTTAATGAGGATTCTATTACTGTTAGGAATAACGGGGAGTGAACTGATGAACATGCATTTCTACCATCAAAAATATAATAATAATAATTTAATATACCTTTACTCGACTTCTTATCTTTTAAACCT